TGACCATGCTTTGTTTAGAGGGCATTATTAGCAAAAATGAAGTAGTTTTAAAAGAAGAGTTGTTATTGTTCCTTCTAGTGCATAGCCCAAAATTTTGTTGAGATTAGTAGTAAAAGTAGTAAAAAATGTGCCAGGGTTTCTGAAATTTCCCTTGGTGAACACTATTCCACAGTTTGATCAATCTCATTGTACACAGTAATGTTGAGTGCAAAAAAAAAAATGTTGAGTGCAAGTCAGCAGATTCGCAAAATCCATTTAATGCACTGCCACAGTGTTTTCCAGTCACAAGACTCTTGACACACAGCAGCAATGCAACAGGGTTGAAGGCTGCTTTGTTAAGACTCTTGACACACAGCAGCAATGCAGCAAGGTTGAAGGCTGCTTTGTTTGCCTGATGAGTCCCAACTAATATCACAGCAGCACACTCAGCTGGGGCTCTGGGAAGATTTTTGCACAGTGTATGCACACACATGCACACACAAATAAATATCAGAGACCGATCCCTTGGCTGAGGTTTGAACTGTTGGCCTAAGAGCGACTCTTCCTCTGTTTAATTTCATCTTTCAGAGGCAGATGCAAAAGCATGAACGTTTGTGTCTTGGAAGAGTGTATGCTTCTCAGCCCTCAGCCTCATAACTGAGTTTACATCATTGCTTTTTAAACATTAGCACATCTTGCAGCAAAACCACCAATGGGGTGGTTCACTTGAAGAACTTTGCAGAAAGCCTCTTGTCTCTAATGGGTTGAAACATTCTCCATCTCGCTGTGGTGCTGATTTCCGGTAATGGTAATTTTCATTGTAGATTATTATAAACCCTCAGGTTCCTGGAGTCCTTAATGCACTTTCCTAGATTCCTTAATGCACTTTCCTGGACTCCTTATTGCATAGTTCAAACCAAGAGAGTGATACACATGAGAGCCTGGGTCCCACAACCAAATCTGTGTGAGTGGGCTCCTGAATCAGTCAGGTGCTTGTTGACTTCCGTGGGGCTCTGCACAGGCATAGGGGCCTGCTCTGCTATCCCTTGGCAGAATCAAGGCATAGGATCAGAACAATTCTATAGCACTGAAATGAAAATGTCATTAGAATAATATTACTACCTAGGACATCACTTTCTGGGTTCTTGGTAAGCTCTGGTTAATTAATCCTCACCGCACCTCAGAAGCATGATTCTCCCTGTTTGCTAAAGGGGACAAGAGAGGTGTCGGTGACTCAGCTGGAAGTAGGACTCAAAGAGTTCATAGATTTTCAGGCCAAAAGGCCCCATAATGATCATCTAGTCCCGTGCTGTCCAATCAGTAACCAGTGGCACTTTCTGGGTTCTTGGTAAGCTCTGGTTAATTAATCCTCACCGCACCTCAGAAGCATGATTCTCCCTGTTTGCTAAAGGGGACAAGAGAGGTGTCGGTGACTCAGCTGGAAGTAGGACTCAAAGAGTTCATAGATTTTCAGGCCAAAAGGCCCCATAATGATCATCTAGTCCCGTGCTGTCCAATCAGTAACCAGTGGCTACT